AAATGTATCGTAGCGAGTCCCCTCCTCAACTTTAATGCCTGTTATCTAAGTTAGTTCTTATTAAATTGTAGTAAAAAAATACGTATCTAATATTTTCTAATAGAATTCCTTTTTTTTTACCCAGTCGTCATCCCTATTATAACGTAATAAGGTTAACAATCAATTACAGGTATTCACAAATATGGTTAATTTGATTTGCTGTTTTCTGTAATTATATTAAAATCACATTAAAATATGTTATAAAGTCTGTAGCAAAACTAATCTGTCGGCCCGTAAGTTAGTGCTCGATTGTTTGATACAAAGAACAGATACAGGTTTATAAAAAAACACCATCTAAAATTAAATTAAAAATGCCAATGAATAAAAGAGAATTTGAATTTTATTTTAGTTACAGTACTTATGTAGGTGTTTGTGGTTCTATGAATTAGTAAATCATATATTAAGTCTTAATGTAATAATTAATAAAACATTCGTTGTAAACATTCTCTAAGTTAAAAGGTACCAATAAATTTGGAATCCTTATACTACTACTATTTATTTTCTATTTCAAAATGATCCATCTTTAACTTAACCCTTCACTATTAATTTATAAATTGAATGGGGAATGCACTAGACACATACCCGCGGATATGCCCGCAGGATCTCGCTACTCTGTGTAATGATTGCGCCGGGCCTACACTAGCTAAAATGCCCGCCCTATAGTAGCGGGCATGCCCGTCTAGTGAATTCCCAGCTTTAGAACATTATTTGCACACTATTCTATTCCAGCTATTAATAATAATTTTTAATAAATTTATAATAATAAATTTAACTTATTTTCCATCAGCTTAGTATTCATTGAACTAACTAAAGTATTTCCAGCACCATTATCTTTTAACAAAAGTAACCATAATTCAATGTTATTACATATATGTAATATCGTTATCCTTTGCTACTTATAAAGCAACTTTTATTGGTTGTTTAGTTATAAAGATGTGGTCACGACACTCTAATTAACTTATTTCGAGTAAACAATACAAACCACTTTTCTAATTGTTTATTAGGCAAATGATTTGTTACTCTACCCTCGATGAATTAAGGTTTATATTGAGTAAATAAATTTCATAGTTTAACACATATATAACCTGATTTAACCGGTATACCGAAATACCGGTATACCGACAATTTTTTCGGTATTTTGATACCGGTATTTGAGGATAAAATACCGGTTTTTCGGTATTTAAAAAAAAGCTTTATATTTTTGCAATATCAGCTGTTAAAAGTCATTGATACGTTTTCACACATATTTTTAGGGTACCAAAAGATCAAAGGACTGAGTATGACTGAGTAGACTACGCTGTCTCCGCCTGTCAGCGGGCTCTATCTCCGAAACCGCTGACGGCTAGGAATCTGAAATTTTCACAGAATGTGTACAACTGTTGCCGTTACAAAAACAAATACTAAAACCTGTTACAAGTTTTATCCTCTAAGTGGCGCTGATACAACAAAGTGTCAAAAATTGGAATATCTCAGCCGTTATGAAAGCTAGCAAAATATTTTTATTAATTTATCACACCGAATTGGTTCTTAAATCAATAATAAATAAAGAATATTATTCTCCAACGGCACCCTTCGTGCGCGAGTTCCACTCGCCGGTTTTTTATATTTCACAGCACAGTTGTACACGTTATGGAACCCACACCCAGCAGTTGTATATATAAGGACGCCTTCGCCTATGTTATGTCCATCCCCAGGGTTCAACTATCGATTCAAATAATCGGTAGATTCAAAACGATTCGAGTATCCAGTCCCATCACTAATCATGTGACGCGCACGCCGAGCACGCCACTTCCTTCCCCTCCCTCCGCCCGCCGCCGGCTCGCGGCTTCCTCAGTCAGTTCTGCTGATATTATTGAAGCGAGAGCACGTTGCCGTTTGTTTACTACTCTAACTCCACCAGCTTTTTAAAATGGAGGTACTAGAGGCAGATTTTTGGATGCAGCTTACAAGTACCTATTAAGCATTCCTCCCACCAGCGTTGAATCAGAAAGGGCGTTTTCATCTGCAAGTTACATTTGTAACAAAATAAGATCATCGTTGAACGACGCAACTTTGGACGCATTGTGTTTTCTTCGTTCAATTTTACAACAAACGCGATCTACCTGATTGAGATTTAAGTTGAATTGCGCCTTTGATATAAATAATTTTAAAATAAGTAACATCATTTGTAATTTGATTTTGTTTGAAAATTTTGTAACTTACATGTTATAAGTTCTATTATTATAAGAGAGCTGATTGTGATATTTGTGCCAATTAAACAATAAATGAACGATACTAGGATCAAAGAACGTATTTTCTTTAGTATGTCTTAATTAATAACCTTACATTAATTACCTACTATTTTTTTGATTTCTAGGGAGTGAATAGTTTCAGTGTTTTTACTTTGGAGACTTACTAAACGTTCTTTAAATTATTTAAACAGTAGTTACTGTTTTTTAGCAGTAATTTCAAAATATACCGAAAAAATACCGAAATACCGGTATACCGGTATTTGAAAGTCTAATACCGGTATCAATACCGGTATGAAAATCATTCCGGTATTCCATGCCCTAACTGCAAGCGATCCTTTACCGCCACGGGTTCCGAAGGCTAGGTTCTGGAACGGGGTGCGTCGACGCGGTTACCAGCGAAGATGTCAGATACGGTATATAGTCCATAGGCACTGATCCACCGTTCTTCCGAAATGTCCTTATTCTCGATAACGAACAATTCACCAAGCTCAATCAAAATTAGGTGCGCGCAGTTAGCAATTTGAATTCACAGTAAAAACCGTCACCCAAAGATTAAGGGTGGGGATTTGGAACGAACTCAGCTAATCGCCTTGCCCATAGACAATAAAAAAATTACCCACAGTTGTGTTGTATTTTATAGTTAATTATCAATCACCTGTTTCGTTACGGAACACCTTTTCAAAATTAAATATTATATCTACCTAGTTAGAAAAATAAAAAAACAGGCGAATATTCGTCTTGAAAAGATTTATACAATGAAGTTACCATCTTATATGTGAATTTATACCTAAAATTTATATTTTTACAAGCATTGTTAAGCGTTTTTCTTATTGTGCAGTAAAAAAATTTTTTTTTGACAATGACTTTTTTTTTACATTAAAACATTATTATTGCGATTGATCAATCTTGCATTCACAATGCTATACTGAATGACATTTTTAAAGAAAAATGCTTAAAAATGCACTTCGTCACATGACCTTTCGCTATCCGGGCGACTGCTCTAACCACTGAGCTACCCAGGACCTAACAGGACTGACGAAAGGTTACGGGTTCGAGTCCCATTTCAGAGTACCAGGGACAAAGTGGATATTTTAAACATTTTTCATTAAGAATATTAAAACATTTTTTATCGCGTTGGACGGTAGAAAGCTCGCTTTATTTATAAGCTGGGACAATATCCCTATATTTTTAAAGCAACATTTTCACAATGTAAGTTAACTTATGTCATTTTCTGTTACACGAAAACAAATACACATGTTATAGATGCTTCTGTGTCGCGTCCGCTTAAATTAAAGCCAGAGTCCAAGCGGTGTCTTTAAAAGGTTTTATCAATAAATTATTTATGTTTTTCATATTCAGTTTAAGGTTTTTATTACGGATGTATCAATCGGATTTTAGTTTATTTCAAATTAAGAAATGATTTGCTTGAATTTGAACACATGAATTGCATGCGGCTTTTATATAGGTAGCTGAAAATATAAAACCGCAAAGATTGCGGCTCGCGTTTCCCGTGTTGGCTAATGTGTGTACATGTGAAACAACCCGCAAAGTTTCCCGAGTCTAAATCAGTTGCTCAGTTGATTAATGGCTTTTCGGTTCATAATAAAATTGACCGGGCTTTGAATTTAAAATCGCAGTTTAATTGACTATTTGTGTAGCGTGCTAGTAACGACACAGTTTGCTTTATCTTGCACCTTTAAAATGTCATTTTTATTCAATTGACTTTTATTTTTTTTACTAACTTAGATAAGCGGATTGTTGATAAGGCAGTTAAGCTAAATCACAATTATGAATTTAGTTTTTTTTATTTATTAACATTGATAATAAAGCGTATTAATGTTTTTAGTAGTTGACTGAATCGATTCAAATTAAAATATTTAGTGCGGTGATAGGCTTATCATGTTTTAGTTGTGTTTTCGTATGGATATAGTTACTCTATATTAGTTTATTTCGTATGAAAACACATTCAAAGTGCTAGGAGCCAGAATATTGACTATAAAATATCTATAATTTAGGATTGCTTTCTTTTTCTTTCTCATATGCTGAAATTATTGCTAAACGTCGCCTAATAAAGCAACGCGTAATATTTTTATCGTAATATACATCTTATACCAAGCTTTAAGCAGTAGTTGCGTAGCGTGGACTTATCTAGACGTGGGCGAAGTTATTAGCGTGGCTCTTTTCTTTCAATACCTACGTGTTCTCAAAATGCATCCTGGAGATTTTTGACTATGTTTTTCTGTTCATATGTATCATTATTGTGATTTTTCGACGTATCATATTCTATTAATTTGACAGAAATTTAAAATAAGTCAAAAGCGCCCTGTATGTCCTATCTCGGCTTGTACAGAAAACTGCGAATGGCGCGATACAAGTTTCTAAAGTAGTTTTTAATATGATTACGCATAAATAATTCCACAGTTCGTGTGACCACCGTCTTAACGTAGTTGTATCTATGCAAGAAAAACTACACTCTGTTCTAATCGGAAACTCAACATAAAAAAATGTAACCTTCAATATCTATTCGATTAAATCTATTGATTATAATGAATAAATAGAGGTGCGTTTTAATAGTAAACGCCGGTTTTGCCCGCCCGGTTTTGTGTAGGCCTATCGTCCATAGAAAAAAAAAATGTTTCTTTTGCGTCGAATCACAGTTTTGTGTACAAAGGTACAGTTTTGTGTAAGTACGGTGTCTACGGTAAGCCACGCCAATGCTAAGCTATGAAATTAAAGCAACATAGTAGATATAGGGTTGTATCTCATGATTTTAGAGAGTAATATCCATAGGAGGGATGTCGTAGTGGCCAGTGCTACTCCGCCCCAGCCGAGTTCTAAAGACCAGGAGGTGGAGAACTGTCGTGCGGAGAGGAGTGGGAGCGCGGCCGCTTGGGGTCCCACCACGCCGTCCCCTGTGTCGTCCACGTGTCCGCCGCGTGCGGACACACGCTGGACACGTTTGAAGTGGATGATCATTAACGTGAACATCGCGAATAGACCTGCAAGTCGAACTAAAGTTTAAGTACAGTCTACAGTAGCGTATTAATTTATCATGCGTACATATTAATGATCATAGGGAGCGCGAATAATTAAGTCACAGAAAGAAAATTATAAATTTCAATGTAACATTAAATTTTAATTTTATTGTATGTGTACAGAAAAATACACTTTGTCCCTGGGGTTTGGGTCACCTCTGAGTGCCAGGGACAAAGTTTTCATTTTGTCGTGAATCGTTTTTAAGCAGCCATCGGTGTCTTAGGGAAGGAGATTGATTGATTACTGCGTTGTTGATGATTTGTACAGGGTTGCCATATCATCAACAACGCAGTACCCGTGGACCACTGGCTCCTTGGGGGACGGGGATGACTGGCTTCCAAAGCCGGCTGGAGGGCGAGCGTATGCGCCAGGAGGGTTGTTGCGGGGACGTGGCTGGTCTGCAATACTGGCAGAGCGGGTGTGTGTGTGTGTGTGTGTGTGTAGTGCATAAAGCATTCTTCTATGTTAAAAAAGGGTTGTCACCTGTCCCGAATTTGCCGGGACAGTCCCCATTTCAATGATGTTATCCCGCGTCTCGATTTCGTATTCATTTTGTCCCGATTCTTGATAAAACTCGATAAAAATATTCTTTGAACATAGAAAATAAAATAAAATATGTAGATTTATTGTATTTGCTGAGGTATCTGCTTTAAATCAGACGGGCTTATATCTATTTGTAACCTTAGTTAAATAAAAATAAGTCATACAAAAAAGGTTTTTTTTCTTAAATTTTTCCGCAGACTTTTGATGATAATAAGAATCAATATCCGACTGAAGTTTACTTTTCGGTTATCAAAATCCGAATGTCCCGAATTTTTTTCCCAATAGGTGACAACCCTTGTGACATATTCCACTATGGATTTCATTTATTTTACCTACATATATTAATTGTATTAAATAACTATTTAACCATTTCCTACCTGCTAATAAATACATAACCCCTGTAATAAGGACGGCGCTGATTTGATGCTTGCAGATTCCGAAAGCGCCGACCAGCGCCGCGCTACCAAGAACTATCAGGCACACCAGCGCGCATGATATTGACAAATTTTGCATGCCTGCAATTAATATAATATGTCAATTGAAATCAGTAAAACATTTTATATCATAATATTACTGTTTTTAACTTTCGAAATAAATAAATATTTTATTAACCTTCTGCAAATTGCTTAACAACCACGATCGCACATAAGCACCGCGTATCCACTACGCCACCGAGTTTCGAACAATAACAAAGGTTTCATTCTATCGAACCTGTACAATGTAGCGCTTAGTTGATCACGCTAACACAGTACACCATAAATTTTAATTATATAGGTTGTAGTTGAAGTTTGTTTTAAGTTGAAATTTATAAACTGTAAGTGTATGCTACCGTAAGTGTATTTCTAACGAATATTTATTCATTATTCATTATATCGTGTAAAAAACCTGAAATAAAGTTTCATACAAACTTTCATCCCCTATTGTATCCCCTTGGGGATAGAATTGATTAAAATCCTTTCTTAGGGGATGCCTACGTCAGAGTAGTTTTATGCATGCAAAGTCTCAGCCCGATCGGTTTAAAATTGATAAAGTTTCGTACAAACTTTTATCCCCTTGGGGGTAGAATTGCTCAAAATCCTTTCTTAGCGGATGCCTACGTCATAACATCTACCTGCCTGCTGAATTTCAGCCCTATCCGTCCATTGGTTTGGGCTGTGCGTTAATAGATCACTATGTCAGTCAATCACCTTTGAGTTATATATATTTAGATGTATATTTCATTCTAAAGTAATGTGTGTTAAGTTCAAATATGCTGACAATTTTGAGCGCATTGAACTTAACAGCTGACCGCGCGCTATGTGCGGCTAAACCGTACAGAACCTCTATATTGTGACAGCGCTATGCTCAACGTAGAGTTCCAGTCTGATATTATCGCAGAATTACCACTTGTCTTGTATCTGACAGCAAATAATTAAGTAAATGTGAGTGCGAATCGATTTGCCTGCCGCACAAAATGTAGGCTCTCATTTTCCTACTAATATATTTTTTTGATAAACGAGCACAGTTCTGAAGGACGAAAGGGTGTTACCAAGGTCACCCAAAAAACGGTGAAATTCGTAATGTTCGGCAAGCTAAGTTTGAATCATTATTTAATATATATTCACCTTTCGTCGCTTGAACGGGTAGTTATGTATAAAAATTAAAAATAAAAATACTACTACACTAGACAGATTATAGCCTATTTAAAAAAGAATCTGTTTGATCTTTTCATAAAGTCATAGACGCCCAGAAGGTTTCAATTTAGTGAATCAAAAATAGGATGTTGAATATAATGAAAAATAAACAAGATGGGAGATAATATTTAGAGCATTACGTGATCAAAATATTATTCTTGCTTCGAGCCTCATCATGCTCTGGTCTCCTCTATTAATAATCGATAACCGATATCTTCTGAGCATAAACATTTTTTTTAAATCTTCTGTTGTTATTATAATTGACAGACGTTTTGAGGTAACGTATTATGAGTTAAGTAGTAATAAAATAATAAAGTAAATCTAAAGGATCATATAAAAAAATCTTCAGGCCGATGAAAACCAACATTACACGAAGCAGACTGTATATTATTATTTTAGGACTTTTATTACTTACATCTGTTAACTCAGCAGCTTCTAAGTAATAAGTAGTTATGTTATCCACTTATTATTATTCACGCGATTTTAGTGTGGAGCTCTACATCGCAGTGGTTACGTAGTGGTTAGCGCGTTCGCCCTGCGATAAGATTGTTAAGCAACTTTTTCAACGGCTGGTCATAGGATGGGTGATCAAAAATTATTATCTCGAGCTCCTCCAAGCTTCGAAAGGCTCAGTTAAGCTGGTCGTCTCGGCAGCCGTTATTATCCACTACTCCGCACTAAATCAGGCGGCGTGGTCGTTCATGGCCAATTCTCTCAATTCAATTCAATTCGGTACCATCCATAGCCCCAGCATTAGGGAAATTAATAGACTAGTGATGATGACTATTTTGGGAGTTCTAAATAATTACTAATTAGCATACTTGCCTTTATATGACATGTTAAAAAAATCAAATTCTATCAACTCACGGTGTTGCCAATCGGCTCTTGGCTCTTCTTCATCACTATTAGCTAAATAATTTGTGCATAAAGGTTGTTTGGGAAACCCAACCCTGGACAGTATCGTTATCTCCTCCTCTGTAATCAAAATAATACTTGTTAACCTATTACAAAAAACTTTTTGAAATTATTTTAAAAAACTTTTTGAATTCATATATGGATAGCGCCATCTACCTCCGAAAAGGGAACTAATATTTTCTACAAATAAATTTGACATATTGAAAATATTTTTTTGAGCTTTTGAGATTTTTTATTAAGTTTGACGTACATTTATTTCGTATATCAGTACTACTACTATAACACCATTTGTGTAATCGGATCGATATATACGACAGAGTCGGTCGCGGCGGGAAATTTGAATTTATGCCTGAAATATATAGGACATCCCGTGAAATACGGCAACACTAATTTGTAGGTCCAGTTTTCTATGATATGTTCGCGTGGAATTCGGCTTTTACTTTTTTATCTCCTATTTCATCCCAATGTAGGTAGAAACGTCAAAAACTGTAGTACAAAAATACATTTACTTCCTATCCTTTGACGATAACAAAATTTTCATCCCACATTTCAACTTCTATAAGCCGCGATAAAAACTATCAAGGTCTACTTTATCTTTGTGCCAAAATTCATTAAAATTGGTTCAGTATTTAAAGCGTGTAATCGTAACAGACACTTAGAGTCACTTTAGTTTTTATAATATTAATATGGAAGAATTACTAGAACTATACAACTGTTTTAATAAATAGGAGCTATCTGAAAGTAGTAGTAACGAGAGCCTTTTTATTATTTTTTAAATAATAAATCTAAGATAATTTTCAAATACATATACTTATGTATACCTTCTAATGACACGCACATGGTCCAAATACCACCATTCATAGGTACTAAAAATGTCCCCCCGCCTTTTCTGCTGCCTGTATCCTCGATCTGTGGGCGTTAAAAATATTTCAATGTTATTTTGAGTATTTAAAAATATTTAAAAAAATTGGCAAGTACCCAAGATAAATGAGGAAAAAAAATATATATCCATAAATCACTGTGTATTCAATATTCGTCAAATCATAATCAAACACATTTTTATGTTAATCGAAAGTTAAAAAATAACCCGATAAGTAACACGTCCCATTTTGGGCAGGATTGTCCCGCTTTCAGGATGTCACTTACCCAAACCTTTACATATACTTTTAGCTGTCTACATTAAAATATCACTATAATGAAACTTAAGTTTATGTTATGTTTATTGAACATTCAAATCATTTAAACTTTAAAAAATTTTATAAATCACTATCACTATACTATTGAAAGAGATTGCGACACATTTTGAAATTAGATAATTACGCCCCAATTTCACATTTCTCTTCGGTCAAAGCAGTCTTTGCCGGTTCTTCTCGGTACAAGGTCTCCCGACGTAGATTTACGAACCGATGGCGTAGCTCTCGAATTTCACGAGTGCTTGTAACAGCTTAGACTGAATAAAAAATTTTGATTTTTTAAATTTCCTAATCAATTGATTTTAGGCGACCAATCGTTAACTTAAGTCGTCCTTTTTACAATAAGACGGTATGAGTTCGAATCCTACTTTGAAAACCTGAAGCTGACGAAATTTTTAAAGTATTTTTCTGTTTGAACATGTTTTTTGTAAATGTCTTAGATAATTATAAAAGTGTAATACATAATGGAATCCTTCAGTAGTGAAATACGTCGGGTGATAAAGTTTTGCCTCATGTGGCGAGTTCAATTCCAACTCTGCGACACTTAAATTTATGGGAGCATTCGAAAGAACAAATGATGGGTATTAGAACGACAGCAATTACTTTTCTCTTGATTGATTAATGTTACGTTTAGGCTGGGGTTAAAAGGTGATTAAATGACTGTTTATATAAAATAATTCCTTAATAACGTTTTAAAATCGTTTAACGTGTTGTTTTTGGTAAATAAATGTAGAAAAGATAGAATTGGTAATTCAAATTTGGTTGAATGAATGTATTTAAATTGTGTAATGGTGTCCTACGTAAAGTTGGCAGTATTGTGGTAACGCAAAGTGCCATTAAAGTTAAGAAGAAGAATAAGGTATGTATTCTAAAATATTTCTTTATGGATATGAAGCTAGAAACATTTTTAATGAAAAATTCTTAAAAATCCTAGATGAAACTCGAACTCCTTTGACTCAAATGACCTTTCGATATCCGGGCGACTGCTCTAACCATTGAGCTACCTTATTAACCATCTGTGTGAGGACCTCCTGGTTGGGCAAATGGGTCAACCCATAGATTATTTTTCTGAGACTTGTTTTTCTTAATATTTCTTTAATTAAAAAAGTTCATTAGAAAATTTGTATGCCAATAGAAGCTACATTTTTTGAGACAATACAAAATATATGTGCTTGGTAAAAAATGGCGGCACAGGATGCTCTGTGGCAGTACCACAACAATGTTTTATTATTGTTTTACAATATATAAGTTTTAATATTTAAAGGATTCATATACATTTTAATATAGTATAGTAATAATGCTTGTTGATCTTGGTGGAACTGTGACAGAGTATCACCACAGTATTACATAATATATTATCCCTATTTTTTCAAGATTTCAAAGCGTAATAATTAGTGTCATACAATTTATTATGTTAATTAGATTGATTCATATTTTAATATAACAGACATCTATATTTTCACTTGTAGGAAGCATCCCTTTTATTATATTAGTAGGATAGGATATCTGAGTTGCTGGTTTAATTAGCGTGTTAAACAGACGTTGGCAGGCTTCCCCGCGATCAAGCTGAAGAAATCACGTGCATACTAATTACTTGTGGCTTACTGGGACCATTTTAATGATTTCAGGAGTTTAAGAGTGCTCGTAAACGGAAGTAACTAATTCCGTATGGATTACGAATAAATAAATTCAAGTGCAGATAAACTTTTATCTATACATAGTATAAAACAAAATCGATTCCTGCCGTCTGTCTTTTAAACGCTATCTTTTAAACTACACAACATATTTTAATTATAATAAAGATATATATTATAATAAAAAATTACATGTAATTGACATAAACTAATTAATTTTTAATTTATATTTGACAAGAGATAAATATTATCTATCTATTTTAAGAGACAAATAGCATCCTCGCTAGTATTTTATTTTACAAATTTGTATTGCTTTTATTGAGCAGAACGTATTTGACATAAAACAACCGACTTTGGAATATGTTCTAAAAATTATTTTGAACATATGATAGACCAAAGAATAGTCTACTTAACTATTGTTCACCAGAATATACAAGGCTTTTCTGGAAAAGATCCAGAATTAGAAATATGTTTGCAGACTATGAATATTGATATAATATGTATTAAAAGAGCACTGGCTCAAAAATTATGAATTGATTACGGGTTTTAAAAAATATAATATTATGAGTTCACTCTGTAGGATAAACGCCATATGAGCGGGGTCTTTAATAATAATAAATAATTATTTAAATTTAAAGGACTACTGTCAATTTGAATCAGCTATGGAAGATGCATTTAAATTAGTTTGCAAAGTTGATAATAAAGTAGTTATATGTGGTGATTATAATGTAGATATTTTAACAAAATTTGCTTAATTAAGTAGGTTTTTGAACTTATTTAAATGTTCTAATTTAGAAATAAAAACGTTTGTTATACCAGACCTTTTGGGATTTGCGAGTAATTTTAAAGATAAGTATATTATTTTAATGTTAATGCCACTCTCGTAACAATTTCTCACTACTTCATGCGCACTACTAAGTCTTTATTATAATCTACATTGATAAAAATTAGTAGTTCTATAACAGTAGTCTAGTTTATTATCACCTATTCTTCCAGCTTCGCCCGCCATCATTTAAGCCAATTATGGCTACTATAGTTTTACGGGTACGACTGGCGTTTAGAGGGGCATAAAATAGTCTATAACTGAATCTTGGCTTACAATTATTCATATACTATATTTACTCAAATCCGTTCTGTAATAAGAAATATCCTATCCTACAAATTTTCGCTATTATAATATTAGTAGCTTGAAGTTAGACGGAGGTTTCCATTATTAATTTCAATAGCATTCATTTTCTTCAATAAGTCGGTTTTGAGATAAGTATTACTATCACTTTTTAAAGATTGAAGTCAGTTCTATTTTTTTAGTTTTTATTTCATGCTTTTTAGTGATATTGTTATATTTAATATAAAAGGTGACATTAAATATCTATTTAAATAAAAATATTAATTATTTTGTTTCCCAATAATCTAGATTCACATTTTGAAGAGGAAAGATTGTTTGTTTGCATTGGGTTAGCCCCGAAACTATAAGATCGATTTATAAAAAGTCTTTCATCTACTTTAATGGGAAGCTTTACTCCATTCATTATAACATTAGAAAAAAGAGGGTCATAGAAGCAGCAGTGCAGAACATTTTATTTTAAAGATGAATTTAAAATATATATATTATAGTTTTGTTGAAACTTTGAACGTTAGGTAGTCTGAAAGAGCTGGGCAATTTTTCATTTTTTACGATACCTCGGGATTGAGATGAGGCCAGCATTTTCTTAATTCATCTTTCACTCTCAAGCCAACATGGAACTAAAACTAACTATCTGTTGTTTTGATAAATTCTAATTGTAAGTGCATATAATTAGAATAGAATTTAGTTATATCTATGCCCAGGAAAGAAAGGTAAACAAAATTAATTTGTTATTATAACATTTATTCAGAAATTAGTTAGACTATAGATGAAGATATTAGAAAAACTTCCTGAAATGTCAAAGGTTGGAGGTAGGTATGGGGGATTAAAACGGCAAAACAACAAGAAAGGCAGTTGCATTCACAACGGATGACAATCCCAGATTATGTTTTTTTAACAATTATGAATACAATATAGTCTGACAAAATTAAAAAAAAATGTACTGCCGAAACGTTTGAAGGGATGAGGCAACGTTTTAAATTTGGTAGAGTTATAGAGACATGAGAATCGTGCCGAAACTATCCAACCCTGCTTCTTTAGGTTCTTTAAGATGCACACTTTTTATTGTAATAGTTATTAAATCATTTAAGTTCGTCAAATACTCATAAATTTGTTTAATAGATAGCTTAAATGACAACAGTTAAGTATAGCATCAAGTATTTAAGTGTAGCAAATTAGCCGTCAGTCTTAAGAGTAACATTATTATTGATGTTTTATCACAAAGTATACCATAAAAAGAACCTTATTTAACTTCTGTCTAATGCTATATTGAATGGAGTATACATAATACGCAGCGGACATAGCGCGGGCGAAGTCGCGGGAAAATAGCTGGTTTGATAGAAATTGATTCAATTATTCAAGAAGAATTCGATGAACATACAATATACTCTTTGATACGTACTATCTATGACTTTCATAAAAAAATATACATCATAGAGTAAAGTTTAAATACTCGTTGGACAAAGAAAACCCTCCTTTCAGATTTTGAATGAATTCTAAATATGCAATCTTTTGTTTTTTAGCTGAAATGGGCCATGTCATAACATATTATTTTAATTTGTAGGTGGTATCTGGAGAAAAGCGTAGTATGATTTGTTATAAAAGGAAAACTACTTATTCGATTTCGATAAAATTTAAATGGGACCTCGGTCCATCAAGCTGTTGAATAAAACAAGAATTTTGAAAATTGGTCAAGAATTGAAGAAAATATCGGTGAACCTTTGGCTATGTATGTCAAATGTATAACCTCCTCCTTTTCGATTTTGATGTCGGTTAAAAATATAATTAAAAAAAAGATGTGGGTATAATATTCAAAGAAAATAATTAAAAAATAAACAGTATTTCTTATCAATTTAGTATTAGGAATGCAAAGTTGATCATACATATAAGTAATAATTAAAATAAAGGTGGAAGAATTTATTATTTATCGACATTTTAATTAGTTATCATCAAAGTATT